GTCATAAAGGGATGGACACGGTCAGCAACAATACTCAGGTAGGCTGTGGTGTTTAAACCATGCTCAGTTGGTACTAAGGGGCCCAAAGTGTGCCAAGAAAATATCCCCACACCATTACACCACCACCACCACCACCACCACCAGCAGCAGCCTGAACCATAAATAGTGCAAAGTGCTTTGCCTGTTGTTGAAAATATGTTCATTAAAATCCTAAAACATGTCTGACATTACATGAAATATGTTGGATTATTAAATTTAAACTCGTGCTGTGCTGCATAACTGTTGAAACATCACTATTATCACATGATACACATTGGTGTATAGCGGTAGTTGGTGGGAGTATCTAAAGTGCAAGTGAAGTTAGCAAACGCTAGCAGTTTGCTTACCCACAAACGGTCAAGAAGTGCGTGTTTCATAATGTGTTTCAAAGGACAAATATAATTCATGGCACAAGAGAGAGGCGGACACTCGCCACGCTGGATGGAGGCTCTGCACCAAAACGCCAGCGGCCAAATTTTATTGCAGAGAAACAAAGTGTGTGTACTGCTCCACATTAGGAAATGCACCCTACTTTAAATCACTGGTTGTCACAGAGGTTACCAGGCAGTCTATTTTAAACTCCCTAGTCATGGGAATGGGGTAAAATACTGTGGTAAAGTTATGGAAAGTTTTGAAAATTCACTGGTAAAAATATGTGGGAGCCCTGCAATTAAAAATGTTTAAAGACTCAAACAAGCTTTGAAAACTAGAACAATAAACCGACTGAAAACAATTAACGCAAGTTTTGTTGCATGAACGTTTTTATTTCCATTAGTGCCGAGAACAAGCTCAGAGGCATTCTGCAGCAATAGACAATTCTTCTTGTTCCAAAATCTAAACACTGCTTCATATTATCATGAAGGCACCTGCAATTTACAGATTACAGTTTAGTCTCTGACAAAGCACATGATGAGAGTATGACTTGATGTATGGGGGGTGACAGAAATAATAAATAATGAAAAATGAGGAATGGTGATGATGAAACTCTGCAATGACCTCGGGAAGCAGAAAACAGAAGAGTGATGGGCACCTGCACAAACACACACACACACACACACACACACACACACACACACACAGATACACACAAACAACGAGATACACACAGAGACACATTCAGGCATACCTTGAAGATGAGCCTAATTAAATGTAGTTACATGTACATATCGATGCAAAACATGATATATATATACTTCGAGTTGCTAATCAAGCCCAAAAATCATACTCAGAAACCAAATATTTACACATAACACTGGGAAGATGTGGATGTGATATCCTGAAGGAAAAACCAGTACTTTTATTTCAGCTATCTGTAAGAGACGTCACTGGAAATACACAGTCTCCTGAAACACATCACTTCCTGAGCTCTGTGCTGTCTGTAAAATCTCTATTTCCTGCTCTCGAAACACTACAAAAATATAAGCTCAATAAACGCTGAATACTGCAAAGAAATTATCGTATATTCAGAATATGACTAACAAAGGATAAGGCGTCATACAGCGTGAGAAAAGAAATGTACAGCAAATAGTTCTCAGAAGAAATAGTTAAGTCTTTCTTTTCTTTAGTGGATCAAAAACAGTTATCTGATTTCCTTGCTGTGCTTCACGTTAAGTACTTCATTCAACATTCAATACACAGATAACCATCACAGGTCAGAGTGACAATAAAGACGTCTAAAGAGGAACAAAAGGAGTCTGATTTACAGTAACGCTCTTCCTAGTTTCAACATACAAAACAAGACTGAAGAGTAAAAAAAAAAAATTCATTATATGACAGTCTGTATATTTAGCTTAGATATGGAATGCTTAAAATCAAAAACTAGCTGTGAAGACGTAAAAACAAACTGTCTTCATTTTCTTCATCAATGTACCCTAACCAGTGGAGCATTTGTTTCATTATCCAAGTCCCCAGCACCAACCGGTATTTTATGAATTCTTAATTGCAGACTTGGAAACTGGAAACATCCCAGTTTGAGATGACCTCACCCCTGCATGTCAGCCAGTACGGATGTGTTAAAGACCAGTACTACTGAAATAACCTCCTGCCTGTGGTCTGCTAACTGTGTACTGTGTAGTTCTGCGGTCAGTGCTGTGCCAGTCCAGTGAATATTTACAAGCACTTTGGAAGCATGCAGAAATAATATCATGTGAAAGATGATGACATAACTCCGAGCTAAATTCAATCAAACCTGCGAAAGTTGTTGCACAAACTTTTTAATTCTAAACAGTCGCAAACTGTCTCCTTTTTCCACACAAAAGTAAAACTACTGAAATGCTATCATGTGATGACATTAAAGTAATAGTTAGATATTTTGAGACAAAGGTTATTCACTCTCTTACAGAGAATTAGATGACAAGATAGATACCACTCGCATACTCTCTAAATATGAAGCCACAGCTAGAGGGCTGTTGGCTTAACTTAGCATAAAGACTGGAGACAGGGGAAACGGCCCATTGTTTCAACAGCACAAATTTCCTAAGCCCCAGTAGTCCAAAAAATGTCCCACTAAGCCCATTTCTCACATGGCCCATTAACCCAAAAACAAACACCCACTGCTTCAAAGTCTGGTTTCTCTAAAAACACACACTTCCTGCAGTAGACAACCCGATTGCCAGAGGAAATGTTTGCATTGTGCGTTTCTGTAAACCATTTTAGATTTGTCAACGAAGCTGTGATAAAGGTGTGGTGAGGTTTAGGCACAAAAATACACTTGGTAATGGTTAAGAAAAGACCAGATTTTGGCTTACAACATCCATGTTTGGTGGCACAAAAGCAAAGTGTCAGTAAAAACACCTGGGATAAGTTGCTCAAACGCCACTGAGAAAATGCTGCGAACGGTCAGTAAAAATACCCGGGATCAGTGGCTCATACACAGGTAGGAAACACTACGCAGGGTTGGCAAAAAACACCAGGGATTGGTGGCTCAAATGTCATTGGGTCACTTCACAAAGGGTCATAAAAGAAACACAGAGGATCAGTGGCTCGAATGCTGCTGGGTGAGCCGTAAAGGATAGGAAAAAACACCTGGGATCGGTGGCTCAAACACCACTGGGAAACGCCGTGAAGTGTTGGTAAAAACACCAGGGATTGGTGGCTCAAATGTCGCTGAAAAAGCTGTGAAGGATAAGTAAAAACATCTGAGGCAAGTTGCTCAAATGCAGATGAGAAAACGCTGCAAAGGGTCAGTAAAAACACCTGGGATCTGTTGCTCAGAAATGCCATGAAGGATTGGTAAAACACCTCGGACCGATGGCTTAAGAGCAGCTAGGAAACACCACAAAGGGTTGTCAAAAACACCCAGGATCTGTGGCTCAAAAACCACTGGGAAATGTTGCGAAGGGTTGTTAAAAATACCTGGGATTGATGGCTCAGACGCTACTGAGAAACACTTTGAAGGGCTGGTAAAAACACCCATCGTAAGTGGCTCAAATGCAGCTGGGAAACTGAAACTACCTGCAGGGAGCGTACATTTTTGGAGACACGAGACTTGAAAGCAATAGGTCTTTGTTTTTGGGACACCTGTCTGTCCATTGCGATAATTTGGGGACTAATGGGGCTTCATAATTTGGGTTGTCTAATCAACAGCACTGCACCAGAAACAGCTAGCTTGTTTGAGCAAACCAGGTTCAAGAACTCGCTGTGTCCAGCCAAGAAATAATCCCCCGCAATGACACCACAACTTCTTGTTTTTACTTTGTCGTTTTTGATATAATGTTGATAAGTGGGCTTCACGGGTGACCTCCCGAGTTGTTTCCCCCTTTTCATTGGGTTTAGCTAAGTCACATGACGCATCTCCTTGCTGTAGTTTGCTGTATAACAGATTACAGTGGCATCAATCTTCTCATTTAACTCTGAGGAAAACAAGTGAATAAGTATATTTTCCAAAATCTTTTACTACTCCTTTAAACTGAATTTAGCCCTGAGAAACACAACGGTACCTTAAAAACATTAAAAAATAAAAGAGAAAACACAAAGCGGCACTTTTCCATCTTCTCGATAATACAGCATATATTTACCTCATCATCTATGTACAATCCTTATCAACTTTCCTGATGAACCAAAAACTAAAATCAAACCATCACAAAGACTTTAAATCACCTACCCACCCCAACGAATAATATTGGCCTATGATATCATATGGAATACAATGACAGAGCACACCCAAGATAACTTTTTGCAAACACATGGCATGTTTATGTCTTCATTTGTGCCCTTCGACATAGAGGAATGATAAAACTAAAATAAATATACATGACCTGAGCCTCCTTAGATAACAAACTGCCTCTTTCTTTGCCAATAAGTATTCAGTGTTTCGTTGCCTGAGAATTTATCCACAGTTACGTTGAGATAAGTAAATAACCAATGGTGTTAGAAAATAATTTTCTTTTAAACTGGTGCGGCAAGAGGTCTTTAATACTGAGAGGAATGATTTGAGGAGACTTCCAAACACTTGAGGATCCACCTCCCTCTGTGTCTTATCTCAAAGTGTCTCAGACCCAGTACTGGTTCTTTTTCAAGGCCGGGTTCGTTGTCCGACAACTCTGCAACAACTCTGGATCTGCGTCTTTGGAGTCCATGTTGGACATGGGGATGTTATTGGCTGGGTCAGTTTTGCGAAAGGTTTCTGCGCTGGCCACCTCTCCGTTTTTGGGCTTGGATGCTGCCGTCTGGACGTCGTGCTTGCCCGTCTTGTTTTTACGGATCAGGTAGTAGGCCAAGATGGCCGCCAGCAGCAAGAGGAGAAGGATCACCAGGATCGGGATGAGAATAGACCAGAAGTTGCTGCGCCGGGTGACATGTGGTTTCCCATGGGCGCTAGAGCCAGAGGATGCTGTGGTGGGGGCATCTCCGTGGGGCCAGTCCATGTTGCCCCTCCAGCGAGGGCTAGCTGGAGTGGGACGAGGGGCCGCAGCTACACCAGGGAGGTCATTACTGTCCTTCGATGGGGCATCTGAGGGAACCCTCAACAGTGTAGCAGGGTAGACCCCAGAGGCATTGTAGGGGCCCGTCTGGAAGGAAAGCACACACTCTGCAGGAGGAACCCCGTGGGCTTTGAGCAGGAAGCGCGCCTCATCCTGACTGACACTACCTTTGGATCCAGAGTTGCCATTTAGGATTTCCATAGCTACCCGTCCCTCATCCAGCTCCTTCTGGCTGAATGTGTCCACTGGCTGACCTGCACCAGGACCTCCAGCCCTCACAAAACGAGCCCCCTGTGGCTGATGGATGACGGTGAATGTGGGGGAGGTTCTGGTCTTGTTTGCCAGGGGAGTTGCATCCAGAAGATTCCTGTCCAGTTGAACGAGAGCACCTTGGGGTAAGAGAGGATCCTGAGCGATGTTGGCCAGAGGCTGGACTGTGATGTTGAGGACAGAGGAGACATTAGCAGCCCTGCTACGGGCCACAAATGCAACGCTGTCTCGAGGGGAAGTGGATTTAACAAAGCGGACACTGACTCGACCTTCTTTGATCTGCTTCTGGGTGAATGCCGATGTAGGCTGCCGGTCTACCATGACAGCTGCATACTTGGGAACACTTGTGATCTTGTAAAGGATGTCCTCCTCAACAGGGCCGCCAGTTGTGGCCTTCAGCATCTCCTCAGTCACCAGGGTCTCATCATCGCCTTGCTTCACCTTGATCTCAGGGGCTTTGTCAAGAATCAGGGTGCGAGCTAGGATGCCGATGTGGAGAGTGTGTGGCTCTGTTTGGTGTTCTCCATCTGACACAATGAACTCCATAAAGTCATCGGTGAGGCTGCCGTAGCTGACGAAGCCCACCTGCCCACGATTGACCATCTCTTGGGTGAACTCAGAGATGGGGTCCGTGGTGAATGAATCAACCAGGCGACCATTGCTGGGGGCTTTGGTCACTTTGAAGTGCACCTCGTCTGGTGGACTGTCCTCGTCTTGAGTGTTAAGATGCTTCTGGGTCAAAATGGTCATGGAGCCTTGAAGAACCTCCAAGAGCATATCTGTGGTGACAAGCTTGGGGGCGTCAGAGCCCCGCCGTTTGATTGAGATGTTAAATACTTCCTCCAGGACCACGGATTCTGCAGGTGAGGGCAAACCCTGACCCTCGGACTTGAGTCGGGCTCTGAAAGCGAAGCTGTCCAAGGAAGCCCCTGAGTCATCATGGAGAAACTCCAGCTTTCCTTGAGTTACATCTTCCTGCGTGAAGGTTGGGGCGTTACGGGGCAGGTCCTGACCACCCAGGGTGATACGACCGTGGTCAGGGAAACGCTTCATCTCAAAAACCACATATGCATCGTCTCGCTGAGCTTCAGGTAGGCTAGCTAGCAGGTTGGAGGCGTCAAGAATGGAATCATCAATGACTTTCCTCTGGCCTTGAACAACATCCAAACCTGAGACGAGACAATAAAAACAAATGTCAAAATTAGTTTTCAAAGACACTTTTTATCCAGTCTTGGCTGTCTTCTATTGACATTTAATTATGCAGCAAAGTACATTGACGCTGATATCTCATTAGTAAACACAGATGGAGCAGGGGGGTTGTGTTTTTTGGCAGTAGTGATACATCCCTTTATGACTTTGGACTATCCAGGCAATAAAGAATTATAGAACATAATATAGAAGTTATTCTAAAACTCTATGAAAACTGAGTTGAAGAACAAGCTGGAATTTCCCTGCATAATGGCAGATTAATCAGAAATGTACAACAATGTAAATTTGACCAGAATGAACATGTTTCACCACAAAATTATTCGCAGATATTTGATATGATTGAATAGTGACTGCACTGTGACTGTTGGGTGAATTCAGGCGTTTTGTTTTTTTTTATCTGTGAACAAAGTTTATTACTGTGTGTATTGTTGTTGTGGGTTTTTGTTTTTTGGTCCTTTTTTCCTGTGTGCAAATAGTTTGCTAGTTGTGTGCTTTTACCAAAGTAGTCCTAATGTTTTCTTTGTTGTATAATGACCTTATGAAGCACTTTGTGACCTTAGTCTGCGAAAAGCGCTATAAAAATAAACTTGATTACTTTACTTTACTACTACAGTACTTGAGCCAGTCAATCAATGTTTGAATGCTGAATGACGTTTGTTCTGTGTGAGTAAAAAAATAATCACAGTTAACATGTTTAAACACCCACTTTGCATTTGGAGACTAAAAAGGACAGAGGAAACACAAGGTTTAAGCAACTTTACTGTTCCTAGCAAGGTAATTTCTCTCTCCTTACTGTTTGTTACTGTCTGTCCGTATTATTATTTAGTTATTTCAAAAATTGTTACGCATGCAGAGAGGCTAGCAGGCCCTGACTGTCCACCACTGAATGTTTCCCACTTAAACTGAGGCCCCTCAATCTAGAGTTCCACTTACAGCCTTGCAAATGAATGTATCCTCTGAGATACAAAAGAGTTTTGGGTTTAAAATACTTCTACATAAAACTATTCAGAATCAAAGTGATACTCTACCCATACTATGTTGTATCTCCTAAGTATGAAACACTTAAAATAAGCTGTGCAGGATGATAACCATTATTCAATGACCTGTAAAGACCACAGAGGGAGTGTTTTTATTACATTACGCAATATTAAAATTCTTTAGCTCCAGCTTTAAGGCAACCTACAAACACTATTGTTTGATTTCTGTTTTATTAATGACTGTCTCATTTATTTGTTTTTGTTGTTTTATTTAACTGTTAACAGGCTGCTGTAAGAGAGCATGTATGCTCACCAGGTCCACCCTGTATGACTAAAGGTTAAATAAATACACATCTGACGTGTTTGTTTAAATAAAACAAAGCTGCAGCTGGTGAAAACAATACGTCCACATTGTGACTCTGGTGCCCTTATGTTAGGCGGAGCCCTCTAATGGGGCTTTACCACACATCTCTTCATCTCAACATCTGCAAGAATCTTTACACAAAAACTACAATTCAGTTTTTAGTAGTGACGGATTGGTGATTTATTTAAATTTTGATGTCAAATATTAGATTGTACCTTTGTTCTTCCACAGCTGGGAGGAGATGTTGCTGTGTGCAGCGTAGTAAGAGACGGTGATGGGCAGGATGTGACGGACATCAGGGGCTGGTTGGGATGCCAGAGTGAGCTCTATGGAGTCCCTCACCACCCAGAAAGGCTCCTCAGGTATCTGGTGCTCATAGTAGACCCGTCCTGACTCCAGCTGTGTGACAAGGGAAACAAAATCAGAACATGATGAGCTGTTAAACACTTTCAAAATCAATACTGGAGTGGGTAAACAGTTGAAGTATAAAAACAGCCAAGTTAACGTTATTAAATCGTGACACAAGGGTTTACTGGAGAAAAATATAATATCAGTAATTATGTTAAAATACCTCGTAGGACACAGTACTTGAGTATGCTGCTGAAGCATCTACTACTTTATCATCTGTAGGATTTTATTTTTCAATATAACCAAAGACTGAACAAGGATAGCAGTGCTGTGAGGTGTAAGTGACGGGCAAAGACGATTAATATTTCATAAATGAAAGTATGCAGACTGAGTAACATTATTGATGTGGACCTTAAAGGACAAGGTACTGTCCAGGATGACACGCAGACTCTTAACCTGAGGGGACAGACGGACTTTGGAGTTGTCAATGGTCAGAGAGAAACTGTGGTTTAGCCACAGTAGATTTATACCTACACGGGGAACCTACATTTAGTTTGCTAAAATATATTTCACTGCTCTCTTTCCCGCTGACGTTTGTGAGCAAGGCAGTAAAATGGGAGCTCAAATGGCTGTAGCAGTGGTTTGGCTCAGCTGAACTGGGATCCGGGTTTAAGAACTGGAATGTGACGGCCTGCGTTCGCTCCCTGAGGTCACCGTGACCTCAACTCAACTATTCTGTCTCTGCCTCTCTCCTCCTCACACACACACACACACACACACACAGCTGAACAACTCAAATAATCAAATCGTGTTTTCAGCTCGACATCGTGTTAGATTTTCTGTCACACTCTAAACACAGCAGTTTGCTGGGAAAGAATTTGTTCTCATGCTCATCCAAGCACGGTCAGATGTCAGGAATGGAAATCAGACGAGAGTGAGAGCACGCTGGCACCCTGGCAGACAAACACTGGGCCTACAGTACATGTGACGTGCTGCTACATGATCAAGTTGTTTGCCCTATAATCCTAAACCAAATCCAGTAAATGCTACAAATGCTACGAGGATATTTGGTTATGTAATCTGAGTAAACTGAAAATAGAAGTGCCTTTTTGCTTCGCAGACAGTAAGTAAGAAATAAAAAAATCACACTCAGTGAACAAAGAGGCTCTTTGTAATCAGGGGCCACACCCTGATGACGAGTTTGGTTTAAAACACGTAGGTGTACGCCCTTAAAAACCTGATTATATTTTATTCAAGACTCTTGAAATTTGTGTTTCTTGTTTGCATGTAATCTGAATATTTCTTCTGGCACTGAGGCTACTTTGCCAATTGTACAGTAAAGATAAAACAGCTGTAATAAATTCCTTTAAATCTCCTCATTTGTTGGGTATCACTCTTTAACTGTGTCTATTTACATCCTCTCCATCCCTGTCCATGACACACAGCAGCTGTGACAGAGACTGCAAGACTGCATTCATCCAGTCTTAACATACATATTAAATGATCAGAGGTAAAATCTGATAACGTTAAAAGCTTATTAGCATGGATGCTCATGTTTATGGGGACCCAAAATATCAGAATGGCACAAAGTCATATCAATGACACCCCCTGCTGGTGAAGAACAGGAACATGTTGATGCCTCATATTGCACACATAGATGGTCTGTTGATATTTAAACTTAAATTAGGAGCACACTGTTTCAGTTTATGTGAAGCAGAAGGTAAAACTGTAGAGAGAGTAACATTTAATGGTTTCCTAAAGGGGAAAATACTTTGTCTGGTACAGGATTTAAATGAGCTTTAAGGCTACATGGGATGACTAGATGTTTGTTGCATTGTATTGCATTGTACATAAAAAATTGATTTTTAGTTTTGTCTTGAACAGAATATTCCCCTCTGTGTCTGCTACATGTGGCCAGTGTAAATCAGTGTTCTGTAGATATAAATGGTTTATTTATTCTATGGTAACAAAAACACAAGGATTCTAATTTTCAAGTGATTGCAAACTAATGAAAACATCTGGATATTATATACTACTTCTGCCAATATTTTTCTCCAAATCCTGCACACCTGACGTTTAATTACGTCATCTTCAAAATCAGATTTTTTTCCATGAAATCTTTTCTCAGAATTCTGAAATAATGATCTTGATAATTCAGAAAAACAGAGCAGAGCTAAGACGTAGCTTTCACTTAGTCCAGCCCAGTTTGCATTGGTGTGCAGGTTTCTCCTCTGCCATCCTTTGTTGATTCAATTCAATTCAATTTTATTTATAAAGCCCAATATCACAAATCACAATTTGCCTCACAGGGCTTTACAGCATACGACATCCCTCTGTCCTTATGACCCTCGTCTATTGTACCGATGCACCCAAGACAAACTTTTTTACAGCAGCCTTGAGACGTTGCAGCTTTCACTTCACAGCTGGGGTCCCCACCAGAACATTTTGAACATCAGACTGTGCACCGGTTTGTCAGTTTTTGGCAAAATGTCTTTTAGTTTGACACAGTAAAAGTCCCTTGGCACTTTTCGGTTTTTATTCAGGGAGAGGGGGGACAAATGCTCATGTTCTAACCCAAAATCAATGTCTATGCGCTTTCGCCACTGCGATGATTTATATGACGTCTTAAGTCCATACTGGTTGATATAAATAAATCCTGTGAGCCTGTGTCACAAACATGTCCTCCTCAATCCATCTTAAAGTTATAACAAGTCACCCATGTCAACACTGTTGTATTAATCTAGATTGAGTGAGCTTCACAATCGTGGTTAATCTGAAAAACATGATTAAAAGCTATCAGACGAGCACAAAGCTGCAACCGCAAGACTTTAAATTATTCAAATTTCCACCTCTTGCAGAGCTGCAGCACCAGTTTGTGTTGAGAGAAGGATTAGTTGTGTTTTTATGCATTAAAGCAGCATTATGTCTCCTCATACGTCTGTCTGATGGTCTGTGCAGCCGACAGCTGCAGTGCCTTTAACAGCCACGACTGCTGTTGTAACACAAACCTGCTATTAATAGGAACGTGTGACCTGAAAGTAGAGCGGATTTATTTGAAAAGACGACAAAGAATAAACGTTGAACTCACAGTGCCCCTTAATGCGACTGATAAAGAAAATGTCATCAAAAGATGCTTTTGATTTTGGCTTTCCTGACAGTTTTTTTAATCCACAAACTTTTTCATTATTTTTCTTCCTTTGATGTATTTTACTGTTTAAGATATTTACTTTTTACTGTTACAAATAATTCATTACTATCATTTAATGTTAATGCAGGGTATTAATTTTAAGAAGGGAACAAGGGAAATAAGTTAAATGTCTCCCAAAAGAAACACTTTGCAGCAACACACACATTTAGCATCACACACACACACACACACACACACACACACACAGAAGGTAATTACCTGTGTTTGTGAGAAGCTGGTAATTTCCTCATACTGGTTCATGTCATTGGCCAGGATGAGTCTTCCCAAACGAGGTGGGCGGACGAGAGAGTAGCTTATCTCGTTTCCATCCTCACTGGTTACAGCCCCCAGATTGGCACTTGTGATAGACTGCCTTGTTCCTGTGAGAAAACACACACACACACACACACACACACACACACACACACTTGAGTGCTGTGATGACTCTGTGGAAAACGGCCTCTTGTGTGATGTGTAGTTGAGCTTGTAAAACTAAACAGAGTCTAGACTTGCCTACAACGTCAGTGGTTACAGTAACTCATGCACGTAACTGTGCACGAGAGTTTCCTGATGGAGAGAATTTCGTTCCAAAAGCTTATCCAAGCTTTAAAAAAAATTTGACAACTCATTTCCTGCATCATGCATGAAAGTAAAGTTCATTATGAGCTGAGGTTTTTGACCGTGCTCACACCTGTGCTCATGATATGGAGAAGTTGTGATGCGTTAAAAACACTAAAAATAAAGTGATATTGTTTTTCAAAGTATTTAAACATATTTCAAACAAAACTAAATCAAGGCTGGACTGTCAAAGTAAGAGTAACGTGAGTTCATGTAACTTGAAAAGCTGAATTTATGTGATAAAATGCACCCTTGTTAAATTCTTTTCACTACAGGGGTTTTGTAGCCGCAAGTGTCCTCGGTCTGGTGTGACCAGTAGCTCGTAGTGGCTAATGTTAGCATAGATACGGTGTAGCTAAGTTAGCAGTGGTACACCGTAAAACCATATAACGGATGTAGAATCGCACCTAAGTGCACATCTCCTTCCATCCTCAACTGTCTGTCAGACCTTTTACACATACGTCCGTTAAAAAAAAATCCTCATACTGTGAAAATCTCATACCGCTGCAACCCTTCTTATGATTTTTCTATACTTGTGCTCCTGCTTCACAATATTTTATCGGATAGTTTCAGTTTCAGATCAACATAATAAATGTCTTAAAAACAACTGACTCAAGAGAACCTTGAGAAAAGAGCAACGTCATTGAACTACTGCCTTGTAATTACAACGTCTGGCCTCAGAGGCCGCTGCTCAGCAACATTTATCAGGGTGTCTACAGGTATTAGTTAAAAAATTAATGCTTTTAAGACCTGTTCAAGACATGTTTTAACCCAAATTTAGGACAGATTTTTGGACAAATCATGTTCTACTTATTTAAGTAGTATTTATGTGGTCTTGTGCAAAAGTAGGTGTTATGTAAGAATATGGTTATTAGAGTAATTTAAGTCAATCTTCATTTTGCAAACAGATGCAAGTCTGTAGTAAAAAGACAGTGTTATAGTTTTTTAAAGATGTGTTACATTAAAAATGTGGACTTTTGGGGCATCAGTAGCTTAGTGGATAGTGCCTGTGCCCCATGTATAGAGGTGATGCCTCGCTGCAGTGGTCGCGAGTTCAACTCTGGCTGGCATCCCTCTGCTGCATGTCATCCCCCCACTCTCTCTCTCTCCCCATTTCACACTGTTCTGTCCATTAAAGGCAAAAGTACGGAAGCGTATGGCATTCACTTGACAAATTAAAAAAAAGCCCTGTTTTTCTGAGTAATTTTTTTCTGTTTTTTTTGTGTAATTTTTTCTGTTTTTCTGAGTAATTTTTTCCCTGTTTTTCGTGGTATTTTTTT